GGACAGACTCGTATAACAAAATTATTTCTCCGCAACAAACCAAAACTGTTCATATTTCCACTTTATAATGTAAATCTAAGAGTGCCAGCATGTCCTCGTTTTATTCAAAATATTGAATGACAAACAAATTTCAGTGTTTTCATACCTCAGACTGACTCAAATAACAAAATTATTTGTCTGCATCAACGAAAACTGACCATATTTACATTTATTATGTTAATCTTAAAGTCTCATAGTAAATTAGTTATATTTTTATGTCAGGATGGACTGTATAATACAAATGTCAGCAATATATGACCACAATGACTACAAAATTTTGTTAGCATCAATTTAAAATGCCAGCATGTCTTCTTTATATTCAAAATAATGATTCCTTAACAAATTTCAGTAGTTTTCATGCCTCAGACTAACTTGATTAACAAAATTATTTGTCTGCATCAACCAAAACTGACCATATTAAATCAGTTATAATTTTTAATTTGAGGATGGACTGTATAATACAAATAACAGCAATATATGACCACAATGACTACAATGACTACAAAATTTTGTTCGCATCAATTAAGGGTGCCAGCATGTCCTCTTTTTATTCAAAATATTGAACCATAAACAAATTTCAGTGTTTTCATACCTGTGACTGACTCATATAACAAAATTATTTCTCAGCATCAACCAAAACTGACCATATTTGAACTTTATAATGTAAATCTTATAGTCGCATAGTAAAAAAGTAATATTTTTATGAAGGATGGATTGTATTATACAAAGGATGGCAATTTTGGAACACAATGATTACAAAATTTTGTTCCCATCAATTAAGAATGTATCCTTCTGACGTTTCAGTCTCGTTGAAATCTCGTTCTGGAATTATTTCCAAAACATGTGATACAAGTGGAAAATAGCAATGAATTTAATAAATATCATAATCAAACTGAACTCAGTGAAAAAATTGTGTATTTACAATAAGTAGTTTCTGAGTAATAAATTTTTCAAATTTTATTACCAATCAAGTCAGTCTTTTTAGCCAATTTTTTGAGAAAATGGGTGAGGGGTACAAGAAATGTTTTTACCAGAAACAGGTACATCCCATATCACTTTTTTCTTTTCAAATTTCTAAGATATGTATTTTTCAATCATTTATAACAAAGAAGTTGAAATAATGAATCCTTAACAAAAGTATTTTGTTCTTAAAACAGAGAAAAATCATAAATTTACAAAAATTGACAGCATGGTAAATTTGACACGAAAAAGCATCAACATATGATAAAACTTTCTTATATTAACACCTACCTATAGTTTTTTTTAAGTTAAATTTATATAGATTGGTCTTCTTCATCGTTATTGAAAGTATGAAAAAAAGTGTAATTGTAGAACTGTGATTTTTTCACGATAATAGCCCAAAAATGGGCAAAAACTGATGAAAAATGGGAAAATCATCAAAATTGGGTACTTTTAAAGGGCCGTAGCAAAAAAGGAAGTGCACCATCATATCATTTTTTCTTCACCAATTTTTTTTTTCAGTCATATAATCCCAAAAATCAGGTTAAGAACAAAAGTTTAATTCTAGTAATTTTTGGCTCTTCAGAGGTGTACATCCTTAAGAGTGCCAGCATGTCCTCTTTTTATTTAAAATATTGAATTGTAAACAAATTTCGGTGTTTTCATACCTGTGACTGACTCATATAACAAAATTATTTCTCAGCATCAACCAAAACTGATCATATTTGCATTTTATAATGTATATCTTATAGTCGCATAGTAAAAAAGTAATATTTTTATGTCAGGATGGATTGTATTATACAAAGGATGGCAATTTTGGAACACAATGATTACAAAATTTCGTTCGCATCAATTAAGAGTGCCAGCATGTCCTCTTTTTCTTCAAAATACATGTATTGAATTGCAAAAAAATTTCAGTAGTTTTCATGCCTCAGACTGACTAGAATAACAAAATTATTTGTCTGCATCAACCAAAACTGACCATATTTACATTTATAATGTAATTCTTAAAGTCTCATAGTAAATTAGTCATATTTTTATGTCAAGATGGACTGTATAATACAAATGTCAGCAATATATGACCACAATGACTACAAAACTTTGTTAGCATCAATTAAGAGTGCCAGCATGTCTTCTTTTTATTCAAAATATTGAATCGTAAACAAATTTCAGTAGTTTTCATGCTTCAGACTAACTCGTATAACAAAATTATTTGTCCGCATCAACCAAAACTGACCATATTTACACTTTATAATGTAAATCTTATACATGAAGTCCCATATTAAATCAGTTATATTTTTTTAATTTCTGGATGGACTGTATAATACAAATGACAGCAATATATGATCACTATGACTACAAAATTTTGTTCGCATCAATTTAGAGTGCCAGCCTGTCCTCTTTTTATTCAAAATATTGAATTGTAAACAAATTTCAGTAGTTTTCTTGCCTCAAACTGACTCGTATGACAAAATTATTTGTCAGTATCAACCAAAACTGTCTATATTTGAACTTTATAATGTATATCTTACACTGCATGAAAGTATTAATTTAAGGTATCAATAAACTATTTGAAAATCAGTCGTAATTTCCGAGTTTATTTTTTTTCTGGTAGTTTATAGTTCAAGTCAACGCAATGTTTAATAGTAGTTTACAAATAGTTTACTGGACGCAGTAAGTTCATGAATTGACACCTGATTTACTGTCCAGTAATTTTCGAATTTAACAAAGTTTAATATACATACAACATCAAATTTAATGTAGAGAAAATCTGTATAACATGATTTACTACAAATTAAAGTCAATAATATTCCAAACAGTAAGCTGTTTACTGTGGTTTTAAATCTGATTCAACATCGAGTTACAAATTTAATACAACGATAAACTTTCATTTAATGCAAATTGAAATCAAATTCAACTTCAAGTTTAAAGATTTAATGTGTGAAATAACTTGATTTACTTCAAATTTAAACTCATTTTGACTCCATTTACTATTGAAAATCTTTGTAATCTCCGTGTTTGGTGCACCAAATATACGCCAATTGACCTGCAAATTCACGACAGAAAACAGTATATATTTGCAGCTTTCATCCACATATGACCAGTAACAGTTCTTACAATCGAACCCTATTATAATGCAGGATATATTTGTTTATACAAACATACTTCAGTATAACAAACAAAGCCATAATTGTACACCCTAAGTTGCCACAACCCATAATTCGAATTAAACACTCATGATTGCCTCAAAATATAAGATATTACAGTGAGAGGAGCAACTGAAAATTCATAAAAAAAAGCTGCCCGTAATGGAGATCTAGACTATGGCGAAATCCTGAATAAAAAAAAAAGCAATTATCTAGAATCTTAGCTAAATTTATTCATTATTTTGAATTTACAAATACATGACAAATTAAAGTACTAACATTCCGTTCTATAATAATTTAAAAAAAAACACCTACATACATAACAAAATTATAAAACTCTAATTTTGTGCATTTTTGTTTGTTTTTGCTAAAGCTGTTTTTAAGGAACAAAAACATATCAACTTCATGATGTAAAAGGACTGAGTATTTAAATATAATAAGCAGTAACATATTTGCAGAATCCTTTTTCTTGTGGTTGTTTTGATTGTCTTACCTAATTACAACTAACAACTATTTTAATAGAAAGAGTTATTTCCCTTTGAATACAAAGATTCGAGCTGAATAATAAAATCCAACGTAATTTGAAGGGTTTAACAAGCACCCAATTATATACAACCCCTTTCTTATTAAAATAAAAAAAATCAAGATCTTAATACTTATTTTTAATAAGAATGTTAATAATTATAAACGTGTAAACCTTTAAGCTAAAAAACAACAACAAATTTCTTAAATTTTTAAAGATACGAAAAATATTCTTATTTTAACAAGAGTTGTTTCCCTTTCATTGCTTACTGTTTTTAATCAATTGAAGAAAAAAAAGATTCACATATTATAAGATCCCAGTTACATGTCTATATGTTTTATCAGTGCAATTAATTTCAAAATATATATTTGATTATGCTCGCGTGGACATCAATATAATATAAAAAATACACAATGAAGAGCTTCACCACTAAAACAAGGATTTTAAATGTAAAACCAACTGTTGTATACATGCATTGTATGATTGCTTACATCAGGGTACCAGATAAAATTTACTGCTATCTAGCTTTTTCTTGTTTATATTGTATAATTACGCACAAAAGAAATATTTAAAACATTGAAATTTAATATATACCAAGTTTCTTACTATTTCGAAGAGTTACCATGTTGTCTTCTTTTTTTTTTTACTACTATGGCAAATAATACACTGCTTATTTTCTCGGTATCACTTCCATATTAAAAAAAAACAAGATTTTCCATCTAAAAATGAAGATTCTATTAAAAAATATTTTTTTAACATTTATTTTCCGTGATGCTAGGTTACAAATCAAAAGAATTATTATATTTTGTTTTGCCAATGAAATGTACATTGTTCGTGTTATTTTTTAAATAGTTTTGCTCATTACGACAATACTCTTGTTTCAAGAAGCTCTTTTCTTTACTATTTTTTTATTAAAAACGTTCTCCTTCGAACCGCTTGTTGTTGTTGAAGACGGTATGTTGACATCCGACATGAAGATGTATTTTTTCTTTTTCTGTTCGCATCTATTTGATTTCGTGATGACTGAAATATGTTAGTATAAGAATAGAACGATATATCAGATTTTTTGTTTTTTTAGTTTGGGACAAATAATTGTGTAAAAATTATTAACAGTTACATGTAGCATTTACTTTGGTCGGTAAAACTTGCATACTTAAAACGTTAAAACGAATAAAGTTTAATCATTGACATTATTTTTAAACTATTTAAACACCCATTCATGTCCTGGCACGACTTCTGGTTTTATCCTTGAGGAAACTGCCCCAACCTTTCGTTTATGGTGCTGCCGTCTGCTTCTCTTGATTAGTTTGACATTCATGTTTTTGGCCTAGTTTTTTTACTAATTTATCAACATCGTCAGACCTCCAAGGCAGAGGTCTGACGATAAACGATCCTTCGTCTTATGAATCTGTTTGTTCATAAGACATGTTCTGCACCACTGCTTTTCGAGCCCTTTTCTTTTTGTTCCTCTGGTATACTGGACTTTTACTTTTAGGGCCTTTTTCTGTTGTTTAATTTCTAAAAAAAAAGAGAATAAAGCCCAAATCAAAATTCCTTGAATTTCATTTTGAATACATACAAATAGATTCCATATATGCCGTAATAACACTCTTTCAATAAAGATATTATTATCATTATTTTTATTATTATTCTTCTTATTATTATTATTATTATTATTATAACCTCAGTAAAAGGCAGTCTGTAAAAACAATACTAGTGATTACTGTGACAGAAAGCATGCTGTATATTATTTATGAATATAATATAATCCAACAGAACACTCAATTCCTAGCATTTAATTTCTCTCTCTCTCTCTCTTGAAAAGCCCGGCCGGCGAGAGAAGGAGAGAGAAATTCTACCGCTACATCAAGTGAAGGCCTGCCGAGCTTTTTGAGCATTGAAAATTCAATTGTCGAGAGTGGAGAAATATTATATTGCACGAGATTCGGTGTTGGATTCTGTTTCTATTTTGTTTTTTAGACGTTACGTAGACAAACTTTTTCACTGATCTGCAAAATGAGGTATATATATATGTGTGACGTCGTTAGATATGGTCACCTTTTTCCTTTTTTTATTGTAGCGTCACAAAAGGAATTTAGTGAAAAGCAAAAAGAAAATGAAATTAAAAGGGGGTTCCCTGTTTAGAGTGATATAAGTATATAATATTAAATAAAACTCCCGTCTAAATCCGCTTCTAATGTTGACTGTAATATCTGAATTGTTCACCATAATAAAAAAATCAGTTCTTACTCATCTTGCTGTACACAGCCATTTTCTTGTTATGTTCTTCTTGTTTACCAGTTTCGTCTCTTCGTTTCTTTGCTTTGAACGATTCAAAATTTGTCTTTATCCCTTCTACAAAAAAAAATCTACTTAAGGCAATTTAAAAGAAATATTTTTTTAACATACAATTGCTTTTCTCCATTTGAGACTTAACAGTGTCACTTGGTTAGTCCATGGTAGAATGTTTTGATGTGATATGATCGAAATCAAAATAGATCTATTAAAGTTATATGATAGTATGCATTTGCTAGTAAGTGATCCATTAACATAAAACTTATTTGTAATATGGAAATTATATGGCGTTTCAAAATATTACTGAAAGTGTCTGCTTATATGCCCGTGCAAATGCGTAAATAAAGTAATATATAAGGAAAGAAATAATATGTATATTTATTTTTCAAAATCATGAGTAAGAAAAGGAGTCCAAATTTTACGTCGCAGGAGATTCAAAAAGTTTGAATGCAAAATGGAGAAGAATAAATCTAAATATTTTGCAGACTGAGCAACACAACTATTATTTTTATTGTAATGTACATTGTACATGAAATTATATATGAAAAGTAATTAGAATTCTAGTTGATAATCATAAGACCATCATAAGTCATGTCGCGAGCTAGTGTCTTAAGTTTACGACAAAAGTTATGATATATCGTAACTTGGGACACTTACGAAAACATATCTTACGACTAAGACATGTCCTAAGACCATCATAAGACATGTCTTAGTCATAAGATACTTTCGAAAAACAGGCCCCTGGTAATGGGATTACTCATTTCAACACTTGGTCCGAAATCATATGAAGTGAATTCAATGGTAATTTGGAACGTCATGTTTCGAAATAAAAAGAGGTAAGATACAGGTGTGTAGCAACAAGGGATCGACCATGTGATTTCAAAGAAGGGGGGGGGGGGGGGGTATGGTTATTTCCTAAAAAAATAATCTGATACCAGATTTCCCCCATACCTTATAGTGTTAAATTTTGCAAAAAAAAGTGTTCGCGCTTTGGGCGAAAAAAAAATTCTGACTCAGACAAAAAACCATACCCCCTTCCCCCCTTAAAGTTAAATGGTTGCTCCCTAAAACAGCACAACAAAAATACCCTCTTGTAAAAAAAAGCCGACAGTATCAATGTAATGTTAACATAAGCTAGGATTTATTCAGTAACGTAACACTCTTCTCCAAAATAAAAAAAAGTATCAACTGAATTTGACTACTTTTAACTTTTTAGATGTCATTCTTAATATGACAGTTAAAGATGCCTTCTAGGCTAAGCAATTGTATTGCAGAACTGCAATTTCGACTATTTTGTTTTTGGGGTTTGGGGTTGGGGTTTGGGGTATGGGGGGGGGGGGGGGGGGGGGGGGGGCTGGGGCTACAAACCTCTAACAACACCCTCCACTTCATCAGGATATTGGGCCTTTTACAAATTCTATGATGAATCCAGACTTCTCTTTGTTCTCTGCAGAATTATATCTGAAAAAAAGTAATTTGAAATATAATCTTACTGTAAATCAAAGCTTCCTTAAATAAGAGTGTAACAAATGTCGGGAAAATTATCAATTTGTTTGAATCTGAATAGAACCATGATTACCAAATACACATATATATCCTGCAAACTTTTCACTTAAATTGACCCAAAAGCTGTGTACAAAATTAAGATTTATACTCGAATAAGTAGAATTTCATAATTAATGATTCAAAGTAGATATATGATCAAAATTAAATCTGTTTCAATGTCGTAAATCACAAGTAATCGAGCATGTTTCCTAAAACCGTATCGTTTAATGATGAATGTGGACATACATTACATATTAAATTACATTGGTTTGAATAACAAACCATGAGATTTTTTCAATTTCCAAGGAAACTTTTAAATCATTTAATTTCATATACATACTTTAAAATACTGCCAGTTTCGTTCTTTATTATCCAGATGAAATCTTTTTCAGTAATACCCTGCTGATAACCATCCCTTCTTGATTGCTGAAAGGAAAAAGATACGCTCTTAAGCATTTAAATTGCATGCATCAAGAACAACTGAGAACTGAAATAATATAATTATATGTGTAGAAAGTCGCAAACATAAAATATATATACATGTACATTCTTAACTTCACGACTTCATTACGTTCTAATTAAAACACGACAACATGTAATCAAAGTGTGTAAAATTTTGCCATATTTATACAATTAAAACACAAAATGTTTAGTACATAGTCCGAAAAAAAAATTGTAATCCGTGAAAAAAGGAAATAAATGACATTTTGCTAAGTATTGAATTTTTAGGTTCGCAAACTTAATGATTATTGTTATGATACAATACATAAAAATGAAAATTGTATAAACTATCCCCTACTACATGTACATTATGCAATATTTTGAAAAGGTTAATTAAAAGTTGAACAATGAATAATTACTTACTGCAATTTGTGCAGGGACGTTAATCTTTTGGCTTCTTGATTGTAGTATTTGAATCATAATATCCACTTTCTTTTCAACATTAATTTGTTTTTCTTGCACTTTTACCAGTTGCCTTTTCATTTAGATGACTTCTTTGTTAAAGTGTCAATCTAAAAATAACAATTACAACTAAACCATTTAAAATACATGAATTACAAAACTCAATGAAGTTCATCATTTTTAAAAAACCAAAAGACTATTAAATCAATCCGTCATTCAGAATATATATGTACCTAAAAATTTTGGTGAAATTAAAATATCATATAAGATATGCTGATTAGATAGGACATAATAAATAATTTTTCCTTATCCATAATTAATCATTATAGTACTTATTATTCAAAACCTTAAATGCTTTTTTATTTATTCATTAATTGATAGACGCAGTATTTCACCATAATATAAGACAAAGTATATCTATATATATATATATGTCAATTGTCCGACTCAGAGGCGCTTTCATTTTTCTTTAATCTGATAGATTAAACTATTTCTAAGCGTACAGGACAAGTTGTAAAAGAGATTTCGTTTCTTTTTATCTTCGTGGGGAATTATTTTCTGAGCAGATTCAATTACCAGGAATGCTTCATCACATCTTATATCAATGAAGTAGATAAATATATACTTTCATTCACTATATATAATTGATTTGTCAAGATTTCAAATATCAGTATTGTTAATTTGAATTTAGTTGCAAAACGAATTAATGACCATTTTATCCTGTATTTTTGCACACCGTTGGTTTCGAAATCAGGCAGTGGTTGAAACCTATGAAGATATGAAAACTTAGGAAAAAAATATACAGGAACATCGTTAACCAAAAACAAAATGAGTATTAAAGCTATGTATCTTTTGGGTACAAACAATAGATCCAATTTGGTTAATAATGTCTTGCTGTGTGCAATTTCATTTTCAAAACATTCGCCTTTGGTTTTCTTTTGGCCGTTTTATGCAAACAATTCTATTTAAGCAGACGTGCAGACACATCATTTAGCTATTAGCTGAGGTAACTGCCATAAAACTAATATTAGTTACATTTGCAACAATTCTCGCCTTGATATACAAATGTATACGATTACGAAAGTTTTATTTTGATTCGGTTATTTTAGCTTTAATAAACATTTACTAAAGCAATTATGTGACAGTCATTGTATTGATATATACAGCTTTAATGATAAATGCGGCATCACTTTTAAAGAAAACGACGTTATAAATTGCTAGTACTGAAAACAAAAGATACACGAAAGAATATTTGTCCCGGAAATGTGAAAAAAAATGTTTGAACCTTTAAAGGAAAAAGTTTTTTACACACAAAAACATCTTGTTTTTAAATTTTTTTTTCAATGTGTGTTATGATTGTCACTTGTCTAACACTGTTCTAACAAAAACCCTTGGTACTTGGGAACAGGACACTTTTGTTTTAGACCTCCCCCTTTTTTCTGTAATTTGTTATTTTTTTTGGTTTTCTTATAATTTCATTTTTTTTTCTCGCGTTTTTCTATTTTATATGAACATAAATATACTAGAAATAACTTGTATTTGCAATTTTATATCAGTTCTAAAGTAAACTTGGAATTGATAGATAATAGCAAATACAAGTTATTTCTAGTATATTTATGTTCATGTAATACAAAAAAAAATGCGAAAATAATTGAAATGAACAGAAAACAAAAAATAACAAATTTTAGGAAAAAAGGGGGCGGGCTAAAAAAAAGTGTCCTGTCCCCATGTACATTTGACAAAAACGTATCCTTTGTAAGCAGACAGATAGACAAAATTAAATCATAACATATTACATTTAAGAAACACTTAATTGTTGGAATTTTCATCGATTTTTTAAAGTTTTACCTTGTTTGCTGATGCTGTAGTCTGTTCTTTTCTTGATATACCCTCTGTGACAGGAGTAGTTGACCTTCTAGAACGAACTTCTCCAGATAAAGGTGTTCTAAGGAAAGTCGGAATGATTGTCCTGCTGGAACATAGTGTACTTGCCAAATTGGTTGGGGTATTAAAATAACTTCGAATTGACGGTGTACTAGAACGACTGACTGTTACTCTACTGCATTCCAAAACACTCATGGACTCATCGGGTATATCCTCTGGCCCGCCACATGCTCCTGCCATATTATCACTGGTTGTTGTTTCCTCTTTCTGACTTTTGCTGCTGTATTCATCTTCGCCAGATGAATAGTAACGTAGATGAAGGCTTTCTTTCATCTTCCATAGACACGTATATATGTATCAGAAAAAAACATCACGAAAAACTACCTATCAGATTTAAACAAGTTGCTTTCTTTAAAATAAAAAAAGCAACACGTGAACCCGATACCACTGACTGGTCACCAAATATTTTTTGCTGAATTTATTTTTGCTTTTGATTTGAAATAAATGACAGTTGATAGAATGAGGTAATAAAAAAAATTAAATTACCTTAATTGTTATTGTGTGTAGATTCGTGCACAAGTCAATTAAAATCATTGCTGGATTTTAGTTGTAAATAGAAAATTGTATACAATTACCATTTAAAACTACCTTTTAAGGCTTGACTATTTTATTTATTACTTGGGAGTGTACATCATTATTTCTCCGTGTTTTATATACAAAGACCTAATCCTATTCCAATTCTCAATTTCTGCAAAACGGACGAAAAAGACCAACAGATCTAGACAAACAATAGTACACAAAACACAACATAGATAAGAAATGCAAAAAAAAATCACCTTCGACGAGTGAAATCAATGTTTATGCATGCACGTACTTTTCTTGCGCAAGAAATAGTAAATGGTATGCACTCACACTGATATTCTGGAAAAAAATATCATGCATTTGCGTCATCACGTATATTTATTCTAGGTTCAAATCTAATGTTAGTTGAATTCGGATGTCAAACTGCCTACCTCAAGTGGTTTGACTGCGGATTCATTGCCATTCAATACGGCATTTGTGTTAATTTGTGATAATTCCTTTGAACACTTAACATTATTAACACTTATCAATGGACAGAAATCAGAAAAAAATATTAATTCAATCTCAAGCTTCCAGAGTCTTTCAGATATATATAGATGTTTAGGTTCACAAATAAGCACAATAAACAGGCTCAGATCCAGGATTTGATGTAAAGGGGGAGTTGGGTGCCCCTGAGAATGAGAGTAGGAGGACAAAACTTTAACAAAAAAAATTGGCTGTAATTTCACCTATAAATTACATTTTTTTTCTGTCACTAGGAGGCGCGCGCCTTGTGAATCCGCCCCTGATAAACAATGTACTTTAACTTCTCCTATCCGACATCTTAATTCAAATTACATTCTTGAACCTGACTTATAAAACACTTGAATACTGCCGAATTGCAAATAAAAACCTATTTAAATATATGCAGTATCAGACCTTTTTCAGTTAAACCCCCCTTTTTATACATATACAGCTGCCAAAAAGATATCCAATAATGTCTTTTAAAAAACCCCATATCTATAGTTCTTCGATATTTAGGTGAAAGATTTAATCCCACCACTCGGATGCACGGAATATCAAATGAACATGTGATCTCCACCGAAGTTTAAAATTACGTTTATTAACAGCTTTTGATAGGCTGATATTTTCTCTTTTTGTTAATATAAAACGCCTATAAACCACACATCCCATATAGCCTAATATGGGCCGACACTAGTTTAGTGTTTCTGCAGTTAAAGCCATTGATGGTCATCCTAAGATGCATTACTTTTATATTATCAAATAAAAAAAATATTTATATATGTATCAATATATTCATATTAAAATTCTTCATCAATTAAATTATTGGTATTATGCAGATCTGCCAGCATCATGGGTACTGACCCCCTACGGATCCAGAAAGTATTTGTAAAATTCAATAGGGGGATGAATCCGTAAAGGGGGACTAGAAGGTCAGTATCAAAACATATAACTTATAGTATGAGCTAGATATAAGAAGATGTGGTATGAGTGCCAATGAGACAACTCTCCATCCAAGTAAAAATTTATAAAAGTAAACCATTATAGGTCACAGTACGGTCTTCAACACGGAGCCTTGGCTCACACCGAACAGTAAGCTATAAAGGGCTCCAAAAAAATTACTAGTGTAAAACCATTCAAACGGGAAAACCCACGGTCTAATCTATATAAAAAACGAGAAACGAGAAACACTTATGAACCACATCAACAAACGACAACTACTGAACATCAGATTCCTAACTTAGGACAGGTGCAAACAAATGCAGCGGGTTTAAACGTTTTAATGGTACCAAACCTTCACCCTTTTTCTGAAACAATAGTGTAACATCACAACATAAAAAGACACACTATAAAATATCAACTGAAATAGCTTAACTCAATCAAAGGACATATTAACACCATTGAACATACACTGAACAAATAAATTTGACCTATGACACAATGTAAATACAAAATAAATAAACTAAGGGAAGAATAATAAAAGTAACATATTATATCG